TCCATGGCTTAGCAGGATTCTACAGGCGTTTTGTTCGTGATTTCAGCACCATAGCTGCGCCCTTAACCGAAGTAATCAAGAAAGACGTGGGGTTCAAGTGGGGAGAGGCGCAAGAACAGGCTTTTACAGCCCTTAAAGAGAAGCTTATCAATTCGCCCTTACTAGTACTTCCTGATTTTACTAAGACTTTTGAGATTGAATGCGATGCTTCTGGTGTAGGTATTGGAGCAGTTCTTATGCATGATAAGAAGCCCGTCGCTTACTTCAGCGAAAAGTTAGGAGGATCAACGCTGAATTATCCCACGTATGCTTCAGCGAAAAGTTAGGAGGATCAACGCTGAATTATCCCACGTATGACAAGGAGTTATACGCATTGGTTCGAGCTCTCCAGACGTGGCAGCATTACCTATGGCCTAAGGAATTCGTCATTCATACCGATCACGAGTCTCTAAAGCACCTCAAGGGTCAGCAGAAACTTAACAAAAGACATGGGCGATGGATGGAGTTCATTGAGACATTCCCGTACATTGTTAAGTACAAAAAAGGTAAAGATAATGTGGTCGCAGACGCATTATCCCGGAGGTACACTCTTATTTCGACTTTAACATCACAGTTGATTGGATTTGAGCATATTGTAGATCTTTATGAATCTGATACTGACTTTTCTGAGAGCTATGCCAAATGTCATACGTTTGCCTGTGAGAAATTTTATAGACAGGATGGATACTTGTTCTTCAGTAACCGATTGTGCATACCACGAGGATCTATTCGAGAGTTACTGGTACGAGAAGCTCATGGAGGTGGATTAGCTGGACATTTCGGTGTCACAAAGACACTTCTTGGGCTACAAGAGCACTTCTACTGGCCGAACATGAAGAAAGACGTTGAGAAAATCTGTTCTAGATGTGTCGTATGTAAGATGGCTAAGAGTAAAGTTCAACCTCACGGTTTGTATACTCCTTTGCCTATTCCTTCTCAACCTTGGACTAATATCTCAATGGATTTTGTAGTTGGCTTACCTCGCACCAGAAATGGTAGAGATTCTATTTTTGTAGTTGTTGACAGGTTTAGCAAGATGGCTCACTTCATCGCTAGCCACAAGAAAGATGATGCTGTGAATGTAGCTAACTTGTTTTTCAGGGAAGTAGTGAGACTGCATGGAATGCCACAGGTTATCGTTTCAGATCGAGACACGAAGTTCTTAGGAAATTTTTGGAGAACGCTTTGGGCTAAGCTGGGAACAAAGCAATCATTCTCAACTACGTGTCATCCTCAGACCGATGGACAGACCGAGGTGGTGAATAGAACGTTGTCCACACTTCTAAGGACTTTGGTGAAGAGTAACCTCAAGACATGGGAAGAGTGTCTGCCTCATGTTGAGTTTGCCTATAATCACGCTAAGCATTCCGCTACTCTCTTTTCTCCTTTTGAAATTGTATATGGGTTTAATCCACAATCACCTCTAGACTTGATCCCTTTGCCTTTAAGTGGAAAATGCAGTTTGAATGGCAAGGAGAAAGCTGAACAGGTCCGGAGAATACATGCTAAGGCTAAGGAGAACATCGAGAAAAAGACCAAGCAGTATGAGAAGCATGCCAACAAAGGACGAAAGGAGCTGAATTTCGAAGAAGGAGATCTGGTGTGGATCCATCTGAGAAAGGAGCGATTTCCAGCTGAGCGAAAGAACAAGCTAATGCCCAGAGTTGATGGACCATTCACAGTCATCAAAAGAATCAACAACAACGCCTATCAGATTGATCTTCAAGGTAAGTATGATGTTTCTGATGCTTTCAATGTTTCTGACTTGCTTCCTTATGTTGCAGATTCAGATTTGAGGACAAATCCTTTTCAAGAGGGAGAGGATGATGTGATCGTGACCAGCTCAAAGGAGGAGGAACCAGAGGTAGCTGGCAGGATCACTCGTTCCAGAGCTAGAGAGATGGCTAAGGAGGCTCACGCACTCATGGCCGCAGAGGACATCGATCAACTGGAGGCTGGAGCTCACATCTTCAACATCTCTATCTTGAAGAATGAAGAACCCAGTAACAATGACTAGGTAACTTAGGTGATGATTCTGTACTCTTTTCCTTGGTGAGGATTTTGGAAGGCAAGGAGGTTCTTCTCCAAGGTTTTTAACGAGGCAGAAATCATTGTTACGTCGAGTTACTTAGAAGTTGTTACTAATGGGTAATAATGTGCAAAGTCACAATGACTTGTGCACTAGTATTTTAGGCGCACCACTTAGGTTTAGAAGGAACGCCTCGCTGTTTTATTTTTAATCAAAATTCTTGTTGTTTTTATTTCAAACTTCATATAGTTTGTTTCTTAGGGCTGCGATTTCTCTCTAAGTCTATTTAAAAGAGAAAATCGCCTATGTCATATTCAGTGAAGAATTTTGATCAAACTTTTAACGTGTTCTTCTCTCTTTTTGATTTCTGAGAACTAAAAACTCTGAAATTTGAATCTCTTAAAAACTAATCTGTTTACAAGAGATTCTACTATCTCTCCATTCCATCGATATCATCTCATCATCACCAACAATCGATCATCTCATCATCACCATACCATCGATCTCTCGCTCACACCACCATCACACATCCACGATCCGATCCACAAGCCACCATCACCTCTCGTCGACGCGTTCATCAAGCACCACCCCTTTCTTCACCGGTCCGATCATCATATCCCCCTTCACGACCTCATCGATCTCTCATCGCGCCACCAACACTGTTTCCTCGCACCATTACCATCGCATCTGTCCCTCCAAGTCACGATCTCGATTCACTTGTTGCCTTAGCTTCAGAGTTGATCACCTAGGATCTTATCACCTTGCGAGCCTCCCACTTGTTGGACGACACTTCTCCATCGGCGATGTAGACTAGAATAGGTCCGATTCATTCGTTGTCGCAGTCGTACTCAGGATCGGCTGACGAGGCGTCTTCTTTCATTGCGACCGCTTCACCGTTCTGTGGTTCTTCCTCGGGAGGATTGATCAGCCGAACTCCTTCCACCTCCCCTATGCTTGGACGTTCGATGAATTCGACTGGAATTGTTCGCTGAAGATCCGGGTCTGATGTCGAGGCGAGTGCTACTAAGGCATCCGCCGAGGTCTTTTCGCCTCAGGGTATTCGTGTGAGCTCAAACTTCGTCTGGAGTTGGCTTGGTACCTCGATCGGAAGTTCGACGAGAAAGCCTGCGAGCACCTGAGATTTTGCAGACAACCTATTCCGATACTCGATATCATACTCGCTCAATTCTATGGCCCATTTGGCGAGCCGCCTAGATTGACTTGGGCTGTGGACCGAGCGCAGCGAAAGAATCGAGAGCACAATAATCGAATGCGATTGGAAGTATGGACGCAGCTTGCGAGCCGATACTATCACGGCTAGGGCGACCTTCTCGGTCTGTGGATAACAAGTCTCGGCATCGGTCAATGTCTGACTGATGTAAAAGATGGGTTTTTGTTCGGATCGCTCCTCTCTTATCAATAATCCGCTTACAGCCGTAGCGGATACGGCGATGTAAAGGAAAAGGGTTTCTCCTTCTACTGTTTTCACCAAGACTGGCGGACTTGCTAGATAGTTCTTTAACTCCTGGAAAGCTGCTTCGCATCGCTCGTCCCACTCGAACTTCTTGTTTCCTTGAAGGATATCATAGAAAGGTAGACACTTGTCGGTGGATCGCGAGATAATCGGTTTAGCGCCGCGACTCTTCCTGTGAGCCTTTGAACTTCTCGCTTCATCCTTGGAGAGGGCATCTCGATCAATGCCTTGATCTGCTTGGGGTTTGTTTCAATGCCTCGGTGTGTCACCAAATAGCCAAGGAACTCTCCCGAGGTGACCGCGAATCTACATTTCTCCGGGTTTAGTTTCATGTTGTGCTTGATTAATTGCTCGAAGCATTCTCGTAGGTGTATGACGTGGTCTTTTTCTTCGATCAATTTTACCAGCATATCATCGATGTACACCTCTATGGTTTTTCCGAGCTGATCTGCGAACATCTAATTGACGAGCTGTTGGTATGTCGCCCCTGCGTTTTTGAGTCCGAACGGCATGACTTTGTAGCAATATATCCCGCGGTCGGTTATTAACGCTGTTTTTTCTCTGTCTTTGGGATGCATCAGGATTTGGCTGTAACCTGAAAACGCGTCCATGAATGTCAACAACATGTTCCCTGATGTAGCTTTGACGAGCCGGTCGATGCGCGGTAGAGGGAAACTATCTTTTGGGCACGCCTTGTTGAGATCTGTGAAGTCTACACAGACCCGCCATTTGCCATTCTTCTTCTTCACGACCACTGGGATTGTGAGCCAGTCCGGATATTTTGCCTCGGCGATTGATCCTACTTTGAGCAAGCTTTCTACTTCGTCGTTGACTGCGTTGGCTCGTTCGGGACCGAGCTTCCTCATTTTCTGCTTGATTGGTTTGAAGGTTGGGTCTACGTTCAGCTCGTGACAGGTCATATCGATGCTTATGCCCGGCATATCCTCCGCGGTCCAAGCAAAAGTGTTGACGTTCTCCTTGAGGAAGGAAAGGAGTTCGTTTTTCAAAGGTTCTTCCCATCCTTCTGAGTGTCTCCCTGAAGATAACGTCTACCAAGCTCCCGGTATCGATGAGTATTCTCGCTACATCGAGGTCTCTGATCGTCAGTTCGATTACTAGTGGATCGGTGTGTGGTTTATCTATCCCTGCCGTTTCCTCCTCGGCAAAAGATATTACCGTATTCGGGATATCGGTCGGTTCGGTCCAATTCTCCTTCGCTCCGGCTCGGCGCTGATAGGCTTTGATGGAAGATACCGTGTCTTGGTAATATTGGGATCCACCCATGATCATGTTGATCATTTGTCTTGGCTCGGGTCGTTCTTCAGGTTCACCTCTCCTGTCGCACTTAGTATTATCGCCTCGTCGGGGCGGATTTGTGGATTCTGCCGCGCCGCTCGGCTCAGTTCCCTCTTTTGGCTCGGTAGGGGCGAGATGTTTAAGATTCACCGCGCTCTGGAGCTACCCTGCTGCCATTTTAGCTGCGAGTTTTGCTCCTATGGTTCGGCACTGCGCCGTTGAATGCCCGTAAGTTTGATGATACTCGCAGAACGCCATCTCGTCGTAGTTAGTGGGCCTCCTTACCCAAGTGTTGCTACGCAGCTCTCCCCATCCGCGTCCAGCACCTACCTGGTAGTTGTGGATGCCTCCGCTTCTTGGTTCCTCTGAGCTCTGTGTCGTTGCGTTGTTTGAAGGGTTACCTTTCTTTGAGGGGAGAGTTAGGATTGAGCTCCGGATCGCTGCTTTCGTCGCTTCATACTGCTCGTCCAGATTTTTCATTTCTTCTTGATGTAAGGCATCCTGAATTGTTTGCGGTGTGTTGAGGGCCATCTCTCGTCGGATTTCTGATTTGTACCACAAAGATCGCTTCAGAGCCTTGAGTGCAGCCTTGTCGCTTATTCCTTCTACTTTGGACACAACCGCCTTGAATCTTCCCATGTACTCCCGAAGCGATTCGTTTGGCCCTTGGGATAGTGTCCATAGGTCGGCGTCGGAGGTTCCTCGGTCCATGAACATCGAATACTGCTTGAGGAACAAAGCAGAGAGCTGTTGGAAGCTGCCGATTGAGTTACGCTCCTGTCTTGAAAACCATTCCAATGCGGCTCCCTTGAGGTGCTTTACGAATAACAAGCAATAACCAGCGTCTACCTCCCACTCGGTCAGATTGGCAGCATTCCTTGTGAAGGCTTGTCCCATTGCTATCCGAAACGCTGTGATGTGCGCCTTTGGGTCAGTAGTGCCTTCGTAGAATGGGATTCTAACTTTTCCAGGCTCAGGAATCCTAGCCTCCATGATTCTTGTTGTGAACAGTGTTCTCTGGGTCTCTTCGAGTATTCGATCAATCTCTGGCGCAGCGCTTATCGCGTTATGCACCTGAGATTTCATGGAGCGTATCTCGGCCACTGTCCGAGCCATTGAGGCTCGCAGCTCTTCGATCTCGAGGGTTTGCTCGCGGGTCATTCTCTTAAATTGGCAAAGTCGCTCCTGATCTTCTCTCCTCGGCTCGTCTTCGTGCTCTGCCTGCTCGACCCATTGGAGATTTTCCTCTTCCTCGGTTGGTGAACCAGGTCGGTGACTTCGACAGCGTGAATGCCATTTAGTGCCGAGGCGAGCTCTTCTTGAATTATTCGCCGAGCCGAGCTGTTTTTTTGCGAATTCCTGGTTCCGTCGTTTTGTTAAGCGTCTACGTCAATCACGTTGTTCTCCTCTTCATCACCTCGTCGCCTTGAATTCCGACGAAGTGGAGGCGGCTCAGTCATGTTTATTCGGGTTGCTGCAGGAGTTTGTTCGCCGAGGGGACTAAACATTGGCGGAGCATGGGATTTCTTGTGCCGCTATCCGAGGCTCCTGCAGGTGTTGAGAAATTGAAGCGTCTCCGAACTCCATCCGTCGGATCGGAGATCTTGGCTTTCCAAGTTGGGTGTCGTCTCCCAGCCGTCATTGCGTCGAGTCTTTCCGTAATCGCCTCGTTCTTCTTGTCCTGCTCGTCGATCTTCTTCATCAATGTAGCCATCATGTTTCGCATCTCCTCTTGGGCTTTGGTTGTCACCGTTGTCTTGCCCAATGGTGGAGCGCTATTCTCTATGCCGTTGTCATTGCTGTTGTTGTTCTCATCGTGGGAGGTGTTGCTCGCCATGTTCTTCAGATCTTAAAGTCATGTCGATTTTAGAGTAAGAAAATTTCGATTCCCCACAGACGGCGCCAAATTGTGTGAGCCAAAACTCGCACAACTAAAAACTTGTTCAAGAAAAACTTAAGGGATCCGAAATTTTTAGGGTTTATCGCAAAAATAGTAAGATCGAAAGAAGGTCTTTATTGCTGTGAAAGTGTTTACCACCTAGCCGAGAATCTCGGGAGAGATTTTTGGAATATTTCCTTATCGCTTCAAGCGGTCGCCGCCACAATGCCTTGCCTAGGGTTTTTATAGGCTTTCCCCCTTCAAGACTTCAGTTCGGCCCCTCTGGAAAACTGGCTCGGCTCAACACAAAGGAGAGCGGCTCGGCCCATTCTTCCTCTTGTGCAGCTCGGCCAACTCTTCGTTCTTCTCACGGCTTGACCCATCTATCTTTTTCCACGGCTCGGCCCACTCGTCTTGGTGAGCACGGCTTGGTGCGTATCTGACGGGCAGCTGTTCCTTCTTGCCAAATCGGTTTTCCGGTACTTGGTCATTTTCGAGATGGTTTTATCCGATTGGGGTGAAACCGACCTCAACAATTACAAAAGCTTCGATCAAAAGATATTCAAAGATATTGCCCAAATTATGCTATGACCAACAGTAAGCCCAAATTATACCATCACCGATTAACAAGCATACCCGACGAGGAAAGGTCACAAAGTCATTTCATCTCCTTGCGAACCCTGCTCAAGTTCATCGATTCTGCTTGAGCTCCTCAGCTCGGCATATGCAAAACGAGCTCTATCTCAGTTTATCAATCTTCAACATCTTCTCTAAACAGCCCAAAACACGAACTCCTTCGTGTTTCGTCAACTCATACAACCTGTCTTTCCGACTAAGAAACCAAAGACAAAACTAACTCAAGAATTCAAGAACCCAAGAACAAAACCCCACCGTCAATGCTAAACGCTAGTGAAGAATCCCGGCTTCGAGCTCCTATTCTCTAGAGCACCAAAGCTCATAGAACATAAGCTCCGAGCTCTTACGCTTCTCCGACTCTTTGATTCATTTTTTTTTAAACTGAGCTCCGCGTTTACAATCCACTGCACAGACGAGTTCTAAAACTCCATATCATCAAGCTCACAGACTCCCTTGTGAATCCATCAGCTCGCAAATTTGTCATGATTTTCATCAAAGGCCATACTCGTAGATTTTCCTTGAACCATTAACTTGCAAGCTCTCCAGCCCATACATGTCAACTTATCAGCTAGTCAATTCGTCAGATTTTGGGTGCCAGTTCGTTTGCTTCGAACGTGCAAAAAAAAAAAAAAAAAACAATCTCCCACAGCACTGTTGCAGTTCGTCTTCAAGCCCTCGGGAAAACTTATCACGACCGAGCTAACATAAACAATTCAAGCACAATTACAGTAACAAATGAGTCCGTCACGACGATCTCCGACCTCCGCATCCTGCCGCTCTCTGATCTCCAAGCTTCAAACACCTCTGTCTCATATCAATGCAAGCTTTGATAAATCTGCAAGCCTTTTCTTTTCTTTAAAAAAAATAAAGGAGGGAGTAGGGGCTAGGAGACACCTCACCTCATTTTTCATATTTCTAAGTCACCGAGAACAATAAGCCGAGTTCATCTCGCATATTCTGGTTCGACTTAAGAAACTTTGAGTCCGTATTGTGTGTTTACAAGAGTTGGATCTCCACTCTTCCAGCACGAGAAAGCTCACTTGAGTCTCCCAGGCCGAGTTCATTTAACTCGCACAAATTAAGCTGAACTCATTTGATTCGCACCATAAACCAAGTTTTCAACACTCGCAAATGTAAGCCGAATTATCGCAATTTGCAGCAGATTGATTTTAAATCATCAAAAATATAAGCCGAGCACAAAGTCTCGCAAGAATCCAATCTCAGTTCACACCTGACTAAAAATACTCATGAAATCCACTGAACTCTTACATATACACTCTTTCGCCGGACTGAGGGGGGGTTTACTGTTGGTGGTATACTCTGCACCCCCGGTTTAGTCAGTATGAACCAAGATCGGCCCAATTGATCCCGATTTATGATGGTTCATCCGCGTAATATTTCCTGATCTTATCTGGAAAAAGGATATATTCTCGAAAGACAAATCCCCGAGAAAAAAGAAAGTTGTTCTTATCTGCGCTAGAAGATAAGGAAATAAGGAATTCTCAAGTCAAGAAGGAAAAGTGACTTGACCGACTTAAAACATCTATAAATAGAGAGCATCTCATTCATTCGAAGATAATTCACAACTCTGCAGAAGACATAGAATACATCTTTCTATTATTGTCTCTGTAATATGAACTACGAATAACTTGATCTCTCTTTTGGGTACGTAGGCAGCTCATCTCGAGTTCAGTTATAACTTCAATAAAATCTCTTAAACCCTTTGTGTGATACTCGGTATCAACACAACAGATCCCATAACATATTTTATATCCAAATTAAAAGACCTCATTATATCTCATATTATTAATATAGATAACCTAATAATTAGCAGCCAGAAATAAAATTATAAATCCATAGGAATTACCAATTAAATCTAAATTACTAACCAATTGGTTGATAAATTTAAAGAAGTTGTAACCATTCAGATATAGAGCATATGATGTAGACCGTCCCAAAAGTTATTACTTCTATTATATTAAAACAGAAGCACTTTTAGTGCTTACATCCAAACACTCCCAAAGTTTTATTTTTAAATAATTATTTAAAACTGTTTTAAGATTATCATATTTTATTGCGATATTATTTTTTAAAAATAAATTTAATTTTATATAAAAAGTAATTTCGAAAATTAGATATCAATTTAGATAATTAAAGATTTTTTTAATATAAGTTATATTTCATTTAAAATTTAAAATATTTAAAAAACTGCAATTAAGTTTAAGTCTAAAAAGTTAGATATTAAATTAAATTACTTTAAACTTCTTTAAATATAGTTTAGATTTAATCTAACATTTGAAATTTAAATAATATTTTTATAAGGGCAATTCTCCTTAATGGCCCAATAAAACTAAAGAATTTATGAAGTAGCCCTCGATTTAGGATTGGACCAAGATAGCCTTCATTAAACAGAAAAGACGCTTCGTTTTCTCTTCCACGAGAAAACACGAACCCTAAAAACTTCTCCGAAGAGATTTCCACCGCCGTAATCATCGTCGTCATCCGACTTCCACCGCCGTATGCATCGATTCGTCGGGAGAGAAAAACACGACATTAACTGATGGTGACTTGATGTGTGGTGTCGAGGGGGTTGTCAAGTTTTACCCTAATTTAAATCAATAGCCGCAAGTGCACAGCTGATCAATTGTAGTACTTAGGGATCGAATCCACAGGGAAGGAGGATCTTTTCCTGCAAAAAGCCTTTGAAATAAGTTAAAGTAAGGAATTCTAGAACAAAAAAACGGTTTAGTGGGGGTTTGGTAGTGTGTTTAAAAATGTAAAAACGAAATATTAAAAGAGAATACGGGAATTAAATTACGTAATAACTAAACTTAACGAAAATGACTAAATATAATAAAAACGGATATTCTAATGCTTAAATGAAAATGAACTAAAAAGGAAAGACAATATTGAACTAAAGCTTAAAAGAAAAACGGTGTAAATCAATGGAGAAGAAAGCGTTGGGGTTCAGGGAAGTTTTCTCAGGGGTACGAACGATTCAAAACGTTGCTAGAGAGTAAATTGGTAAGATCTTAGCTTAAACTTTTTGAACTGGAGTCACGGACGTATGAATACGCCACTGTCGTGATCATAGACAACTATCTCTCTCAATCCTGACCAGTAGGTTTCCACTCTGGCCCTGGAAGAGAAAAGATGCATTATGTTTAAGACTCGTCCTAATTCACAAATCGCCCATAGGTAGGTTTCCACTCCTATGTTTGTTTTGCTCTCCCAAACTAGATCTGATACCTGATGAACACTTTCGTGTCACCAAGCATCTGGATCAGATTGTAGTTCATGACGCTACTCTCATGCAGTAATAACGAATTCAGAAGAAAAAGTTATAAGATTCGGCTCAAAAGCTCATGGAATCCTCATCGAACATATAAATCCCCATCGAAAATCCCTTAATCCCAACAATAAAACTACTCAGACATAATGAACGAAATCAAAAACATAGTATTAATAAGTAGAATAGAAACCGAAATTGATAAAGAAAGAACAAGGGTTCAAGAGAACAAATCTCTCTCTCCCTAAAAGCTAAAGCAAAAACAATAAAAGTATGAAGTAATGAAAGATGATATGAGGTTGCACGATCTCCTAGGGCTCCTAAGACATGTATTTATAGTGCTCAAGACCTCTCTGG